TGTAAAATCGAGTCAGACAATTGCCTCTTGATGGCCAACGAACTTCAGTAGGAAACAACAAACGGTAGAAATCTTCGTCATTAGTAACACAAAGCTGATGAAATAATCTATCATTCAAAGATCTGTTACGGATTTTATTCACTGCTTTGGCTTTGACATATAGCAGTGATTGAAATAGTCGTTCACTTAAATTTCTAGCAACCACATGTTGTCTATGAATAACGCAATGTGCAGCAAGGACATCTGGAATTTTATTTTTTAAGTACGCTATGAAGCTTTTATGGCACCCTGTTATAGCCGGACCGCCATCCGTAGCAACCGATACAATATTTTTCAAGGGAATCTCTTTCTTATCACAAAACTTATGAAATGTATTGACTATGGTTTCATCTTTTGTATCGGTCTCTAAATTTCTAGCAAACAATAATTCTTCACATATTTTCTCATCTTTAATAAACCTCACGTAAGACAGCAACAATGCTTCATTAGTTGGTAAAGTGGACTCATCGAGCTGAATTGAGTAGTCCTCAGATGATTGCACAATGATTCTTCAATGTTTTCAGCCATTTCATCGAATCGTCTTTGCACAGAATTATTACTGAAAGGAATTTTTCGGATAATATCTGTGGCGGGTTTATGAAGCACAGTAGTTATTACTTCCTTTATTGCTGGCAAAATTAACTCTTCTCCGATGTTGTGTGGTTTGCCTTTTTGAGCAATTAACAAAGAGATATTTATTGTACGAAACTCGAAGTCCGTCGTCATCTTGCTTAGCAGCCGCCGAAAAGAGATTTGCTACACTTGGCTGAGTATTATACTTGTTCTCTAGGTCTTGAAAATATGCTCCACTCTTGTCTTTCTTATCTGGATGCATTTTATTCAAATGATCTTGCAGTCTTGAAGGCTTCATTACTTCATTCGAAAATGTTTTTAGACATAGATGGCACAAAGGCGACGATGGGTTTGTGGGATTTATAATGAATCCGAATTTAATATATTCCGCACAGTATTGCCGTCTCTTCTTTTTTACTTCCGACATTGTTTTGTTTTGAGAAATACGTAAGTAAGTGTCGAACTTAAGTACTGCTTATCTATTACGCGCGAAACCGCAAATGAAAATAAAATGAATATTACGTTGTTTATATAGGATTGCATAAGCAGCACGCACCGACAGGAATAAGACAAACATGCATAAACTCGTTTATCTCATTCGACGCTCAATCGTACTCAACAAGTAAGAACAAGTATTCTATGAACCAGCCGATTAATACAGGAATGCACAACGGGTTATTTAACAAAAACTTGTTAAAACATGATTGCCCGCGGTCTATTATCTACGAAAATTACCTATCTAGTAATACTAACAACTATTAAAATGCGAAACTGTGTCTGTTGCCTTTTTATTTCTTTGTGTCTACTTTCATTTCGAAACGGAGCGACCGATTGACATGATTTTTATTTTATTTATTCAATAAAACAGGACAGATATATGAACTACACAGAGAGACATATCGAACCGAGTTAGTTTCACAAGTTGTAGTCGAGAGTCGAGAGCTCAGTCGGTGTCTAAGAGTCTTCCTAGATGAAATTACAAGTCTCCCCCTAAGCCTCTACACAATGCCCCCATTTTTTTCTGGGTCTCGTACCGCCTTTAGGCCTGCAGCGCCCAGTAGGGGGCGTTATCGCCCACTTTGGGAAAGGCTGACCTAGATGATTTAAACATACAGAAAGTAGAAAAATTCTTAAGGTCTGCTGGTTCGTTCCGTGGTTTAATTGGTATAGCGTCTGGCACGGTTAGCTGGAAGATGTTTTGGTTCGAATCCAGCCGGATCGAAGATTTTTTCTAAGTGTTCATCTTTGTATTAATAAATTATAACAAACATATATAAAAATAGTGGAGTAATTTCAGAAAAAAAACATTAAATATGATGATGGTGTAACATCGAGCCATTCAATAAAGCTAATCACAAAAATGTTTTAAATTTTCAATTAATGTGTTTTTTGTTCAGATTGCTGTACAACGAATGTCCGCCGTATTTGTACGATAAGTTAATTTCTAAGAAAAATATGTCATCACTTAGGGACAGAGGTCCCATGTTATGTGTACCCATGATTAAATTGGCTGGCGCAAGAGGTTGCTTTAAGTACGCTTCTGCCAAAATTTGGAATAATCTACCTCCACCTATCCGTAAAAGTCAATTTTATCATACACTTTTAACTTTTTATGTATATTGTCGCGAATGGCTACTTACACAGCAGGCTCTTGCGCTTGGATTGTATTGATACTGATAGGGTTAATTATTCGAAGTTTCCATGTTATAAAATAAAATATAAAAAGAAAGAAAGAAAGAAAACACATGTATTTGTTTACCACAATGACACTACAAAAGACAAAAAAAGAGAAGAACAAACTAAGTATTTGCTGGAAAACGCAATGCGTTCCCAGCACTGGTTTGCAGTTAGGACTTTAAGTGAGGTCATGGATCAACATACGCAATACTTAGGTATTTCAATATAAGAATAAAATAATTGTGTATATGTACATATTAAACTGTAACAGATGTATTTGTGTAGGTGTGGGTGTGTGTGTTGTATATGTTTAAATACTTCCAAATAATATATGTATAAGTATGAAAATACATTATAATAACTAATACACTATACCTACATCAAGTAACTAATATGCTCTCAACAGAAAGTTATAGTTTTAAAAGTAGAAAAAGTATAAATAAATAGGTGCAGAAAAAAGTTAACAGCATTCCTTTTGAATTTTCAACAGGAGAGCCTGAAGCTTGCGCTTAAAATATTACTACTGGAAATAAATATATTGATTAAGATACTTACTTTAAGTCTCTAAGTCCTAAAATAAATATTTAATTACAATACTTTAACAAGATTACGACGGAATAATAGAGGCCTTGGGTTCCCCGCGACCGCTGAATCAAAAACCGTTTTGTCTTGTTAATTAACACTGTCTCTGATTTTGTTTATTATTATTATTATTAATACTGCCTACAAAAATAAATCTCAATTTCACCACGTGCACAGGGCCGTAAATAACAAGAAGCCATACTGTACGTACTTATAGGTTCATTACGACCGCATTATCCAATTTATATCAAATTGCATTAACTGATCGACTAAATCCATACATCCTCACATCAACAAAGTACCTACATTTTGTGGGTTAAATGACAGTTGCTTCTCTATAATATTGTCCTCCCAAGGGGTTGTACATAAAAATGTGCACAATATCTGTAGTGATCCCTATGATCATGTAAACGTCCAGTGTACGTAATAATGAAAATATCGCGTTCAAATTTAGCGTTGTACATTCTATATGACCATAGAGTATCTCTGCCGTCCACTAACTAAAACTAATATCCGTTTTAAATAGCAAAAGAAGACCACAAAATTGTTCTCTTTTACAAACAGGTGAAATTGCTTAACGTGTTCCACTTATTGGAACTTACCCTAACGATGCATAGTTGAAATACCATCAAACAATTTCCATATTCTAAAACTAGGTTATGGTTTTTTATGACATCTCAAAAAAATATTTTTCACCTCACTACCTCGGAAAGGCTTTTTTCTTCATTAGAAATCTGCATGCAAAAGCGTTTTTTTTGCACGCTAGCGTGGAAAAGTTTTTTCAAATTTGAACTTGACAACTAATTGTGTTTATTAAATTCTTTTAATTCGTCGAAGAACTAAAAGAATTTCAATAATCACTTAATCACACAAAATAAAAAGTACAAGCAAGAATAAAAATTGATGAGGTGTAAATTCAGAACGCATCCGAAGATAAACGCTTCGCTCGTGGTTCAATCTTAGCTTCCTTCGCTTGCTCAGGTTTCAATACCAGCACTCGCGTTAAACAACAACTTGCATAACAAATAACTATTATCATTTAGCCGCATTATATATCATTTAGCATTTTAGTCAGCGGAAGGCAGATCTAAAACAATACGTTATTCATACAAAACATATTTAATATACTACAGGGCATATAACGCTTTTCCCATTGTTGTTTGCTGGGTCTTAGGAGGTTATTTGAAATCTTGTAAATGAGACCATTCAATTATTTTTGTGAAATTACTCCACTAGTTTGTTATTATAATTATTAATACAAAGATCGACAAAATAAGAAAAATTTCCTTCTATCCGGCTGAGTTCGAATCTGTCTGAGTGAACAAATAAATTTCTCATAGATGGCGCTACGGCAAAAAAGTCGTTAAAAACCAAAAACAAAGATATGCAACAAGCACAGAAAAATTAAAATCCTCTAGTTTGTTCCGTGGCTTAGTAGGCTTAGCGTCTGACACGGTTTGCTGGAAGACTTTGGTTCGAGTCCACCCGGATAGAATGTATTTTTTGGGATCTAAAATAGCATATATTCGTATTTTAACACTTAGAAAGTTACTATGTACGTAGTGGCACTGCGACTGTTATGGACAGGCGTGTAGGTTACCATCAGGCGCACGACTTGTTCGTCCCGTCACTATTATAAAAAAATAAAGTATCTCGTGTTCTTTACAGCTCTATACCATAGCATAACAAGAGTAAGTAGGGCAACTTCCGCCAAATCGGCGAGTAAATGCCTACACTACTCTCGAAGCGTAGTGTTGTGATATTATTATTTTAGTTGTACCTATTAATTTGAAAACATTAAGGTGCTCATCACAATATTCTCGTGATATATTGATAAAATTTTTGTTAAATGCACTCAGACCAGAACCAATTTAAATTCTAGATTTAGTACCTCTCGTTTGTTCTGACTGAAAACTAGCACCTTAGGGAACTTAGGCATATGTTGAGTCAGCGCCATTTCACTGCTATGACAAAAATGTTTTATTTCTCCTGTAGTATTCAATCTGTATTGTGTCATATTAAGTGTTTATCTATCTATCTAATTTGGAAGAGTTACTTTCTTAAATTTGTCCAACCGGTAATAGAACACTTTTGGAAGTTGCGTAAGATCGTAATGGATTAGGACAAATATGTCGTAAGGGGACGCGGACGGCTCAATTCGTCTGTATTTAATTTCTTTTTTGGGCAAGTTTGTTAACCGATTTCATTGATTCTTTTTTGTTTGAAAGAGGATTCTTAGTAGTGATCCCTTTCAAGTTTAAACGTTAAAATCAAAGTATTTATTGCTTTCGTGTGTTACATAATGCTCTTAAAATTAAAATATTATCAACATGACCCTGTTAGGGTGTCACAATTAAAAAATATACATTAATTAAAATTTAAAAAATAAAAGAACATAAATAAAGTAGGAAATGAAAATATTTTTCCGGATATAAATCGCGTATATTTGTTTTTTCAAACAAACCAACGTTTCGGACTCTTTACAGGTCCCATGGTCACGGTTGACTAAGATGGTACAGTCATCTTTTTCTCTGAGACATAAAATAAATTAAATCAATCGATATTTTAATTTGTTCTGAGCTACGCAAAAAATATTTGATTTCTATAAATTAACTTTGATAGTTTTATGTTGACCCTCAAAACCGGGACAAATGAGCGTTAAAATAAAATTTAGATACTTGTTTTTAAGACTAAGTAAATGTTGATTCTATTTGTATACTATATATATATTATATTAATTTTAATATAATTTGACCTGAAAATATGTTCGGAAACGCAAGCAAATTGACTTCTGGCACTCGCCGGCCGCTGCCGTGACACGCTCGCTACGCTCGCTCAGCTCGTGCTACTTTATGGAACCTAACTTACTGAACGGAGGGCGCAACCAAGCAACCAAGATTTATTAGGAGATCAATATCAAAAGATATACCGGTTACAAATGTCATCAGTCATTAAAAAAAAAGAATGATATAAGAAAGTAGATCAAATATAATTTTTGAATACCAAATATTAATTTAGTGTGTTTAAACGTAATAATACCTTGAATGCAGTTCATTTATAATTTATCCGTAGATCATCCTAATATAAACGGAACAATGAATATGGCATCAAACATAAAAAAATATAGTTTATTTTAAAAAGTGCACATTTACAAGAGATCAATTCTATATTTAAGGATAAAATAAAATTATCGTTTTTTATTTCATTAAATAATTTTTAGTTCTTTTTATATTTTTTAATCGTTAAACATTTCGTGACTATCATAAGCGTGCGTTCTTTTTAAACAAAAAATTTACAGGAGTCCCGTTCTGAGAAAAAAAAAGTCCACCTAATGTATACCGCCCAGGAACCGTTTGTACTGTTTCTTGAATATAAACCGCTTGTTAATTCTTTTACCAGGGCACCAAAAACATCAAAACAAGAAGAATGCGAAGCGGAAGCTCTGAAATCGGATCCGGAAGACGATGGCGAAGGAAAGCCGGAAGAAGGAGGGGCGTTACAGGCAAAGATGTCTCTCCTCAATGGGATCACAGTTATCGTAGGCTCCATCATTGGTAGTGGGATCTTCGTGTCCCCCACCGGGGTTTTGAAGTATACGGGAAGTGTGAACGCCAGTCTTCTCGTGTGGATTGCCTCCGGAGTTTTTAGTATGGTAAGTGTTATTTTATGTTTCGGTCTCTATTTCTTTGAATTTGTTCTCCAGTACGGTTAGCACGACAGGGCGCGACTTGCGCGCGAGCGAGCGACATAAAGCGCGACATTTCTATGCGAGAAAAGCAGTATCTCGCGATTTATGTCGCTCTCGTGCTAGTTGTGCGCGGTCGTGCTAGTGCACTGGTCTTTCTGGTGCTTCTTCAGACGTCTTAGCTACATCGGTTTATTCCTTGTACTAGGAAAATTACTTGATCGATAAAATTATTCTGCAGATTGTCCATAAGTGACAAAGTACTGTACGTGTCAAATTTACATATTGAGAAACCTTTAGATAACAAGTGAACCAATCCGCTGGCTGGTTGGGCTAGGCTATGGCCTAAATTCTCTCCTTAGATTCTGGCCTGAATTCGCCCTCAGTTGTGACACGTATGAATGGTTGATAATGTTGATAAGTGCAACACTTAAATAAAATTCTTACAAACGGACCAGAAATACTTACATAATATCACACTCTTAGTTTAATAAGGTCATATCTGCAAAACGACAAGTTTTGAGGAGAGAGGTTTTAATAATCTACGAACGAAATTAGGCGACTACTTTTTTATGCCCTAAATAGGAAAGTTATAAAATTTCACATAGTATGTGTGTGTGTTAAGATAGGTACGATACGATATTATATCCGTGCTGCAATTGAATTGTTCATTCTTTTGGCTTTACTCCCAGTAGGGAAAGCGAGGTTATTAAAGATTTGTGAAAATAATTGAAAATAAAACGTGCATGTCTTCCCAGAAATAGAAAAAGCGCCCCCAAAGCTTCTTAAAATGTCACCATCAATTTAGATTTTCCATCGTTTATTTATTTCGTCCCTCCGGTTTTGGACGGACTGTTTATAATTCTCCAGTAACAAGCTATTTTCTGTTTCCCGATGATTGCTTTTGCGATTTAAACCTTTTTCATCTTCTTGTTATTATTAGCCTAGTTAAGGCTAAGAGCGGTTACACACGGTCACTTTTAGCAGCGATGCAAAAGCGATGCTAACGCGATTCAGTCGTGATGCAATTGTCTATAAATCCCAAGTGTAGCGATGCATTTCCGCGTTTGTATCCATGCAGTCGCGCGTTTGCATTAATGCAATCGCCTATAAATCCATCGCCGTGTGTAACCACTTTAAGGTTTGGTTTGTTTGGTTGGTAGTCTATAGAATAGTACATAACTTTTATTTTATTACGTTTATTGCATTGTATTGTGGTGAGAAATAAATAAATTTATTATTATTATTAAAACAAAGGAACATTACGGTAGAGAAACATATTATTACATGTGCTTTGAGTACTTAATATGCACATGGCGACGTTTTAGTCTCTTAAATACGATATTAATAACCGATAATATGACACTAAACAGTGTATTTTGTTCTATCTCTGTTATGGTAAATAAAGAAACGCAAAAACTGTTTTTTTCTGATTAGGTTTTATTGATTGTCAGTATGTTTCACCACCATAATATTCAATTATTTTTTACACTAGTTTGTTAAACAAAGATCTAACACTTACAAAAAATTCACTTCGATCCAGTTGGATTCGAACCAACGTCTCCTAGCTAACCGTGGCAGACGCTATTTTAGTAGCAGTAGAGCTCACAGTAGTACTGCCACTTTACCTATTTCTGCCGCCAAGCAGTAATGTCAGCATTACTGTGTTCCGGTTTTGAAGGGTAAGGGTGCTAGTGAAATTACAGGCGAATGGGACTTGCCACCTTATGTCTCAGGGTGTCGGGCGCTGTGGCAGTGCCCCTTAGATTTTTGTGATTTAAGTGCCACTGCAACTGTTATGGACAGGGGTGTCGCTTACCACCAGGCGCACGACTTGTTCGTCCCGTCATTTAGTACTATATGAAAAAAAAAACTGAAATAAATTATGTTACAAAAAATGGCATAATAGACAATCAGTCATTCAGTTAGTTTATCTTTTTACATCCAGTCATCTTGCTGAAAGTGCTACGACGCTGATTTTCACTGGACCCTGTAACAGCATACACGAGACACGGAACACAGCATACGTGTTATATGAATTAGTCTAATTACGCGTATAACTAACATTTGATTATGAGTTTCCATTTCGGTAATTTAGTGACCAAGTCTAATCCGCGTAAATGTTGTGGCATCGAGTATATAACTAGAAATAAAAACGAAATAAGGGTCATTCATCGCTGGCAACTTTTCAGGTAAACGGGCCTTTAAATATCAACTCTCGTTTGCACTGAAATCACAAATTAGAAAGCTGAAATAGTACAGCGCCTACAACTGACCTGTGCGTAGGTCTCCGTATATTCCAAAAATATTCTGTATTTATTGTAATAAAGATAATATCTCTAGCAAAGGGCACTTCCATTTGGTGGTGTGGGAAAAGGAGCAAAACAACTAATTGCAAAACAAACGGAATCACATTTCATCGGTAATTAAATATGTAATTTTGCAATTTATGTCCATTATAGCAAATTCTAAGGTAAACCGGTCGATTTGAAGTGAAACAATTGGCGACACCGACGAATGTTTCGAATACTGGCTGTCCAATCGGAGCGCAGTTGTCAGAGTAATGATTACGCAGAATAGTTTTCAGACAAATTAAATGACATTTCGGCTCTATTTCTGATTATATCTCGACTCGATGTGTTGTGGCAACCGAATTAGCGTGATTTACGGGAATCTACATATAGTTACCAGTCCGTAGACAACATAAATAAACGCTTACTGTGCAAAAATTAAATTCGTAGCCATTGAAATAGCAAAACAATAATGTTAAATCCCTCTCCTGAGAAATTTGGTTTGGGCAGACACGCGCCTTTTACCATTACTACATACGCGGATTAGCATTATCCCAGACGATATGTAAAATTTTATAGCTCACCTACTTAAGCATAAAAATGACATCGGCTAATTTCGTTCATAGAAACTTTAAACTTCTTAACAGTTGTCATTTTGCAAATGTGACCTTATTAAACCCGTGTGTGATTTGTGTGTAATTTTTCAGAACAGTAAACACAATAATGTTTGTAATTAGCATTTTTAACAGCAATAGTTGTAAAAGAGCTCACCCAGGGTAGTACTGCCACCTTACCTATTTCTGCCGCCGAGGCATTTCATATATGTTTCGTACCTTTTGAAGGGTACGGGTGCTGGTGAAATTACAGACACGTGGGTGACGGGCGCAGCGGCACTACCTCTCAGATCTTTGCGATTTAAAGCTCTGGATGGCACTGCAACTGTTATGGGTAGGCGTGTAGCTTGCCATCAGGCGCACGGCTTGTTCGTCCCTTCACTTAAATATTATTAAAATAAAAATAAATAGTTAAATTATACCTCTTTCAGATACTACATTACTTTGATGATATATTTAATCTAGAAGTTTATAAGTTTATAGTCGTCGAGGTTTTCACTCTAAATTATATAATTGTATAAACACGCAATGTTTTTATAGAAGCAATCGTTATCACATGACACATGGCTCGTTGATAAAAGTTCAATTAAAAATATAAATAACATTACGACTAAAAGCGCGTGATGTTGTTAAGTGCGTACTTTGCACTTGGCCTCGTCAGAAACTCTCGTTTATGTTGAAGGACTATTTTCCGCTGTTGACGTCACGAACAGTTAATTCAAAAGTCAGTGCCGTCTGTGTTGAAGAGTTCCAAAAATAAATTGGAGGCTATCAATTTTATTTTTTCACAATTTCATACAACAATCAATCAACAATATTTACTTGCTTACTTATTATCAATGATCGGGATCAAATGTTCCATATATATAGCTACAGGGAGTGGCATAAAGTTGTTAAAACCATATATTCAATAATTACTTTTTCGAATTCCGGATTTCCGGAAATGTTTTTACTTTATCGTAAGACTAAACTCACTAAGTGGATAATGGTATTTTTTATAATCATTATTGTGATTTTAATTTCACTGCCACGCAGAGGTCCCAGGTTCGATTCCCGGGCCGGGAGAAATATTTGTATGGCCTACATTTATTTCTCTCGTAAATTGTCTGTGTGTGAGTTTGGGTGTAATTTGTTTGGGTGTGATTATAAAAAATATCATTATCCGCTCCGAGTGCGTGTGAGTCCCTGGGAGTGCATTTTGGGAGTGGGTTTTGTCTTACGATAAAGTAAAACCATTTCCGGAAATCCGGAATTCGAAAAAGTAATTAATCAATATTTGGTGGTTTTAACAACTCTATGTCGCTCCTTGTAACTATATCTAATTTTAATTTAACTGTATTTGATTTGTTTTCTTTTTTGGTGTACAATAAAGAATTTTTGTATTTTATTGTATTGTATCTATACATGTGTCTATATGTATATGTAGAACACTTTTTTCCGACTATTGCTTATTATACTCACGTCCTTGGATTCCCATTGGGATAGGCTGAGACAATCGATCTCCACTTAGCACGATCTTGACCTCTCTCGCTTTACTTACATTCACGATATCTATGTACTAGCGTCATTCACCAAAGTTTCAAGTTTGAATGCAAGCCTTTTTATTCTTCTCACTACGCACTCCTTTTTAAGAACACTCTCAATTTTCTTAATGTTCTTCGTGGCCGTTTTGGTCAAAGGCATTGCACGTAATTTCACACAGGTAGTGTTACGGCAAAAAGCTGTTAAAACCACACTTACAGACACACTCAACGTAGCCCCGCACTAGGGAAACCCTGTGTCGCGGGTGCCATGGACACACACATATCGTCACGAGAGAAATAACTGTAAGCCATAAAAATATTTCTCCCGGTCCGGGAATCGAACCTCGGGATCTCGGCGTGGCAGTTAGCAAAGTCTGCAACAGTTCATGTACCTCACTTAGGGAGATTTTTATGGAAACTGGCATATTGACCATTGCATCACAGTTTATTTACATTTGTATACTTTCTGTGCATTTGGATAGTAAATTATATAATAAATGGAGTGACGTAGTATACAGTTTTAATACTAGACATAAATGGAAGAAGACTTCGGAGGGTTCTCGGTTCTTTTGTGGAGAAAGGTATTCAGTGTTATAATAACATTCCAAAGGCTGTTCTGGATATATTCTTTGATAAGTTCAAAAATCATGTAAAGGCAGCTTTACTAAAGAGAGGATAATTATTATCTGTTAGGGATTACATCACAGAGTAAATATATAAATGATTTACGAACTCGAATATCAAGCGTAACTTGCTTACGTGCAAAATAAAGATAATTTTGATTTTGAACAAGCACGTAAAGAAATTCGTAACGTCTGTTAACTAGTTCCGTATCTTAGTTGGGAAAGCGACAGCCCCGGTTTGGCGAAAAAGTGGTTAGTTCAAGTTCAGCTGGATCGAAGGACCTTTGTGTTTGTTTGATCTTTGGATCAATAAAACTATTTAGTGGAGTATTTTCACAAAAAATATAAGAATACAATACAATACAATACAAAATGCTTTATTTCTCTCAAAAAGGTTTACAAAATGCAGATTTGTTACATATCATGTTAAATATGAAGCACCTTAGTGAGAGCTGGAGCCTGTACTAGGTTGGGGACCTGTGTTACAGATCACCATGATAGTAAAAAGAATATCATGATAATAAAAAGATTATATGATACTCAATAAAAATAAATACCTGTTACAGTTTTAAAATTTTCAGCTGTTTCTGTTTTGTCACAAAACGTAAAATTTTTTTCGAAAAAAAAAACGATTTTTCAATAAATGTTGAGTGAAGCTGTACTATGTTCATTTAAATGCTACTTTATATCTAATTGTTATTTATTTAAATATAAACCATTGACTTACAATTATAATATAAACGTTCTTATTTTTAAACGAGTTCAAGAAAGGAGAAGGTTGTCAATTCGAAAGTTTTATTTTGTATGCTTAGAATAATAACGCATAGAATGATAGTTTCATATCAAACGAACTGTCACAAGTGAGGCAAAAACCAAATTCATGTAGGCTAGTTTTAGTAGTAGGTTAATTTTCGGTTTTAGTGAATATTTATATAAAAATACAAGTTGAAACGCCTTACTTCCTTGTGGAATGTGATGTTAGAATCTATTTTATGTTTGTCTGACGTATTTTTACACTCATTTACCGCATTTCGTCATTTTTAGCTAAAATTCTTGATCTGTTCGCGGTGCAAGTTGACCTTGAGCACTGAAGGCCCGCCCGCTCGTGTAGGCCCATTGGGCGCGCTTCAATTTGCCTCATTTAGCGTGTGCGGACTAGGTTTCTATGCATTATTATTCTAAGTTTGTATGTATGTTATGCGATAACTGCGGCATTTGTGAACCGATTTGATGATTCTAGTTTTGATGGAAAGAGGGCACCTCGGTAGTCCTATTTAAATTTGAAGATAATATTCCACATCTATGAGTGGTTACACAGGGCGACTTTCGGCAGCGATGCAAACACGCTTATAAATCCCAAGTGTAGCGATGCAATCACGCGTTTGTATCGATGCAATCGCCCGCTTGCATTGCTGGAAATCGCGCGCGTGTGTAAAAGTCGCCGTGTGTAACCGCTCTAACGCTCTGGTCACACAGAGGCGGCCGCGGAAGCGTTCCGGATGCGGGATTTTTTGTAATGTACGAGTTCATATAAACTCTGCCACATTGAAACGCGAGGCGAGCGCTGTGTAGTCTGAGTATAAGGGTGGCAAACTAGGGGATGAATCCGGTTTCGCGCACTGTCCGGTCACCGATTCCAATAAAACTTGGCAAATAGATGTAATTTCACGCACTTTTGAGTACGTACGTACGTTTTGAGCACTCTGTACCTCGTATATATTCTCTTTTTGTACCCCTTTAGAAATGTGTGTGGAGTAATAAGCATTTTCTGCTCGTTTAATCAACAGATAGGCGCGTATTGCTATGCGGAGTTGGGCACGATGATTCGCTTAAGCGGGGCGGACTACGCCTACATCATGGAGACTTTCGGGCCTTTCGCCGCTTTCATCAGGCTCTGGATAGAGTGCATGATCGTCCGACCCTGTTCTCAGGTAGGTGGTGTCTCTATCTTATGCATTTTTTATTAATTATTTAATGTTATTATAGGAGGTACAAATCTAAACTAATATAATAAGTGCAAAAGTAACTCTGTCTGTTACGTTTTTACGCAGTTTTTACATTTTTATTTTGATGAATGGTATAGATATAGATGGGACCTAGGAGAAGGACATAGGCTACTTTTTGTCACAAAAATAAATCTTAAGAGGGATGAAATAGGGGATAAAAGTTTGTATGGAGAACCAATAAACTGTTAGTGACGGGCTTATTGTTCAAAATAATTATAGTTTTAATTTTAGAAAGTAAGGTGCAACATTGATTCGCTCTGGGTCTTTTGGAGGGAAAGGTGTCCTTTTTATTTTGACGTTCAATTATTTTGTGAAATCTAGTTTAAAATGGAATAGGATAGTGCTATTGTGCCGTAATCGAAGATTAAAACGCGAAATTATACGAATCTCGAGCCCGTTCTAAGGAATCCCGAGTCAATCCAAGCACGCCGCCTCAAATTGCTTATCCTGTTTGTGGCGGCCATATTTACAGAAACATAATTAAACGAAGACATCGCTCAAAGGACTTGTATCCAAGCCAAAATTGTTAATAAAGAAAAAAAGGTTCAACATTTAATTTGCTTTTTTTTGTATTTCACTTTGTTTTTTTTAATGCTGACCAAGGCGAGGCAGTCCGCTGCTACTCGTGACCCGTACCGCACAGCAACATTTCTCAAACTCGTATCTTAAAGCACAAAGTTACTTGAAATGCAAAAAATGGATTGTATATACAAATGTTGCAGGCTGATTTCATATCACATGTCCTTCATAGTTACACACTGGCTTCTACCTAAAGTTTTATTAAGGGCTGTTCAAGTATAGAATGAATAGGCATTATTCAGACATACGCGCAATGTCTCAGATTGTGATTGTGTGTTATATATGAGTACAAGGTTTTTTTTAAAAAAATACTATGGCAACCTAGCAGTAACTGCATATTATAAACTTTTCATAATAGATGTAGAAATGAAACTTCGTTCACTATTACAAATTATATTATAAGATCTTTTCACTATACATCCAAAGAAAAAACTCGTCCTTTCTCGTCAAGTATGTTTTTCACAATGGCGGCCGCCTGTCACGTTCCGTTGATATCGATGATGATGATATCAATTTATTTCTTATTTCGATATAAGTAATTCTTAATGACGCACAGTAAGTTTTCTAACAAAATAAAATTAATTAATATCGCGATTCGCTCACAATATATTACTTACACCATAATTATCAATTTTTTTTTATTACTTTTAATCATGCATCAGATGTTACTTTCGTACAAAAATAATAATACTTATTTTTAATATGTCGCTCTAAACGGCGATAGTGGCGGTAACTGTGTGGTAGCAAAAGAAACCGCTAGCGTAAATACCAGTCCGATGAAAAACGCAGGAGCGGGGGTGGGGTCGTCGGGAACGTGCTTGCACGTTTGAACTTACTACCTTACTGCCAAATATAGTTCTAAGTGTCAGATAGTACAACAAAAACATAAATGTTTATTTTTGGTATATTTATTATGATTTTAAATTAGGGACTTAAGCGTGTATAAAAACATACTTTATTTACCTCATTTCGTACGTATTGCAACGTCCATGGTCTCGAAGGGACTGAAGAGGCGGGTGTCAACATCTTCTATTCGCACTTGGCCTACATAATTTATTTGTACACTACGTCATAACAAAATAGTGACGCCTACATTAAATGTCTCAACGCGTAGGAACCTTCTTTTGTCCCATTATGACCTTTACCCCCTAACCACATCAACTCCCACTACTTTTGTAGATAAGTATCATAACCCATACACTTGCGTACAAGCACTTGTAGAGATATCACTCGATATCATAGAATAAGAATAGACAGCCTTATACGAAGGTAAATACTCAAAAGCTAGGAAACTTGATAGATTAAAAAAACATACAATGAAAGTGGCTTACGCCTCCATTACTATCAGACCCGATGTCGCCAAAAGTCGAACATTCTTAATTTGAAACGCTACAAAATCTTGATATTGATTGGTCGTAGTTTCAAATTTAAAAAGAAATAACAAATTCTGGATTGTTAATATAATTTAAACTTTGCCCTGTTGGCGTATCGTTGAAAGTTTAATACAATCAGTACCTATTATTGCAAGTTACGACGTTTTGATATTACATTGAAATTCAATCAACGTGCTGCCATCTAGCGGTTAATTGCTGAACGACGACGAATTAGAGTTAATTTAGTTCTCCAGAAAAGCGACCTTACTTATTGCTGGGGTTATAAGCGTTACTGTCGTTTCTTGTAACAAAAGAATTTCGATGACTAGAAAATTGAAACATTATTAAAAATAAGACTTTTCGATGATATAAAATACCACCACGGATAATATTTTTGGTGCGGTTATCATTTTTGCGGTGGCATTTTTCTAGGATTTTAGAGAATTCGCACTATAGAATGACACAAGCGAAAATGGCGCACTGAGCTCAGATGGGTCTTTCTTAATTTTTTCTATCCTCTGAGGTCTTTTCGAGATCTATAATTGGAACGCGTCAGACGCTAACTAACCACTTCTACTGACATTTTTTATTAAAATAAAGTCAAAGGGCAGAATTCGAAAAAAGAAATCCAAAAAATGAACTCACATTGTTCTATGTAGTAGGATAAATACTAGACAAAAATTGCTTTCTAGTCCATTACTTCTTCATTACATTATCTGTCAAGTCTATTAACCTTTCGATGATTGCCTATAAAACTCTATCTTAAGACATTCTAGTAGGTATCTAATTTCCGTGGCATTACGCAATCTTTTCTTCCTTCATAATTTGGAAAGTTCTACGAAAAGATTAAAATTTGTTTAATTTGTCGTTCCAATATTCATATGTATAATAGCTTGGCTCCGACTTAGGTCTATGACGTCTATGTATAAATTTCAAAGCGTAGGAAGATCATTTGAAGGCTATTTACATCTCTGTGGGTTTTATTTTTTCTTATCCTACGCTGGATTTTTGCCGCTTTATCTTTGTTCAGTAATTTGATTGCTAAATAGATCTATGATAAAAATTGTATTGCTTGCATTTATAATATTAGGGGAAATTGAAATGGAAAGATCAGAATGAGCAGAATTTATTCTTAACGTTACTTTTAGATATTTGGCTTATAATTTTCTTATTTAATAAACGTTCCTAAATTCCTAATTCAAAAATAACATACTGCCCTGATAATCCCAAAAGTGCTATCTCAATCGGAGTAAGTTTTGATAAAATCGTATTTTTGTTAATTGTATTTTCGCATCTTCAAAAATAAATCTTTTTGAAGATGTTAAAACTAATTTATATGTATTTTTGACTAATACATGTATTGACATACTACGTAATTTAAGGAAAAATTGAGATATTTAGTGGTTAAGTTAGATAGCGCTATTTCTATTATACCATTAGATGCGAAATTATTATAGCTATTGAATGGTAGAGAGATAGCGCCTTTTGGCTTAACAGGGCAGTATTATGTAATGAAAACTGTAAATTATAGCCCCAGACTAAGTGCCAAAGTTTAATATTGGCGCCCAGATCGGGTCCGGGGCTACCATGAGATCTGTGAACTTTTATTTGCACCGTGGATTTGCAATATTGCTACTGAAAGTCGGTTTTTATTGAAACAAACGGTTCGTACGGACGTGATTTTTTTTATTCTTTCTCTTGATTTGTGTTGTATTGTATATTCTTGGTTTTATCACAGATACAACGGATGTGTATATAGCTTTTGTTGTTCGTAATGTGTTTGGCTAAAAGCTGTAGTCCTGTATCATTAGTTCTTGTGTATAACATTGCCTTTTTTGTCCCTTCAGGCTATAGTAGCGCTAACGTTCAGTACGTACGTACTTAAGCCGATGTTTCCGGAATGTGACCCTCCAAACGAAGCTACCAGGCTGCTGGCTGCCTGTTGTATTTGTAAGTACTAACTTATATGATATTTCACAGGTGTACCAAAAAGATCTAATTGAAGCTGATTAACGTATCCCGTTTGACCACCGTGTATCTTTTTTTTATAATATGAAGTGATCCGGCGAACAAGTCGAAAGCGCATTCTTTGATTATTTAAAGATATGTTATCGTTACAGTGAATGTTAGGAAACATTTATTAATTATTTTGTATAGGAAATGAAACTATTTTCTCGGATTTAAATCGCGTATATTTGTTTTTTCAAACAAATCATCATTTCGTGCCCTTTACTGGTCCCATGGTCACGGTTGACTGAGATGGTATAGTCATCAACTAGTCATGTCTAATATTAATGCAAACCACCCTATTTTTTCACTATAGTCACAAAAGTTATTAATTAAATACCTTATTTTTAATTTTACAAAGAAACATTCCAATTTACGCTACATTATATTTTACAAATTATTTCATTTTAATAATATGAATTTTTATTAACTTACATTTATTATTAATTGCTAATGAGAATTAGAGTAAATTTTGTTTAGGATTTTTCGTTAGAGGAAATAAGCGATTTAAATCCGGAAAAATAGTTTCATTTCCTATGTTTAACAATCGCGAAAATTGTGTCAAATCATTGTGATATTGTCCTCAGTGTTGTTGACATTCGTGAACTGTTGGTCGGTTCGAGCAGCTACTCGCGTGCAAGATTGGTTCACGTATGCGAAGCTGCTTGCTCTCTTTATTATCATCGCAGCAGGCGCCTACCAGCTGTGCAAAGGTTAGACTTCACCTTATAACGTTACAGAATACGCAGTTTCGTATTTGAACAACTGTTTTTACATAAAATGTTTATTATAAAATAATAATGCTAATAAAAGTATAGGTATACATTGAATGGTGCTTTATTCGACTGTATGTTTTTTTGTATGTACATAATATGTCCCGCGATAACTTCAGTATTTGTGAATCGATTTTGAAGATTCTTTTTGTGTTGGAAATACCTCAACTAAACTAAAATAACTATTAAATTTGACCAATTTCCATGGTCCCGATTTTTTTCGTTCCATACAATGAAATTATCCTTACATGAAACTAAGTCGATCAGCACTAAAAAAATTTGATTAATTTTTATGGATAACTCACACTAGACTATGTCATTATATTTTTATTCAATTAAAAGATAGTTTTATGCTTAGAATAATAACGCATAGAAACCTAGTCCGCACACGCTAAGTGAGGCAAATTGAAGCGGGCCTACACGAGCGGGCGGGCCTTCAGTGCTCAAGGTCAACTTGCACCGCGAACAGATTAAGAATTTCAGCTAAAAATGCCGAAATGTGCGGTAAATGAGTGTAAAAATACGTCAGACAAACATAAAATAGATACTAACATCACATTCCACAACCAAGTAACGCGTTTCAACTTGTATTTTTATATAAATATTCACTAAAACCGAAAATTAACCTACTACTAAAACTAGCCTACATGAATTTGATTTTTGCCTCACTTGTGACAATTCGTTTGACATGAAACTATCATTCTATGCGTTATTATTCTAAGGTTTTATGTAAATGATCTGCTGTTTATAGTACAAGATTTGACTAGACTTATATTGTTTGCTGATAACACATCTTTAATATTTAAATGATTTAAAGAATTAAATTTTTCAACTCTCTGCTAAGTCAATATGTTCGCTTAAATATAGCATTATTTCCGAAAAATAGTAACAGGCTTAACCTTAATCTTAGAAACAAAAATAAACTTGCGAGCCCTAAACTTAGACTTGATAAAGTTAGCTCGTCATTTGTAGGGTACGTTACGTTTTTAAAATAAATTCCAGACATTGTACAAAATTTATCAGAAAAAAATTTTTAAAGCTCACGTTAAAAATGTACTAATTAGAAAAGCTTATTATAAAATCAATGATTACATAGATGATACGAACGCATGGTGTACTTCCAACTATTCCATTTGTATCAGCAAACTAAAGTCTCTCTATATTAAATGTATGGGAGTATTTAATGTTAAAATTTTGAGTATAATCTAGTTTCTTTTACCGAAAGCGCCATCTGGTGCCTTAAGCGAACTGTTCAATACTATACGGAAAGGAAAACGCCGGTATATGCGTGTTTCCTAGACCTGTCGAAGGCTTTTGACCTGGTAAATTACGACTTGTTGTGGGACAGACTAGGACACACGGATGTGCCGGCTGAATGTATATACTTACTAAAGTATTGGTACGGTAACCAAATAAATTAGGTGAGATGGGCTGGCGAGATGTCTGATGAATACAGATTGGAATGCAGTGTGAGGCAGGGGGGCCTTACGTCTCCCCTGCTTTTCAACCTGTATGTGAATGGGCTTCTGGACGAGCTCAGCAGCATGCATGTTGGATGTGTTTTTGACGACAAGTGCGTCAATAACATCTGCTACGCAGATGACATCGTGCTGCTGGGGCCGTCTATAAATGCGCTCAGGAAACTTGTTGCAGTTTGTGAGAGGTATGCGGTCGAGCATGGGCTGATGTACAACTCAAAAAAAAGTGAGTTGCTTGTTTTCAAAGCAGGCAACCGCCTCCCTAACGTTGTACCATCGCTAGTGCTCGGTGGCGTGCCTCTCGGTAGAGCATATAGTTTTAAATATCTGGGACACGTCGTAACAGACAATTTAAAAGACGACATGGATATAGAGAGGGAGCGCAGGGCTCTGGCTGTGCGTGGAAATATGCTTGCTCGTAGATTCGCTCGATGTACAGGAGAGGTAAACTCCTCAGAGTACATACAATACTCTGAGAGTGCAATACAATAACATCTTCAGGATGTTGTTGGGACTACCACGGCGTTGCAGCGCGTCCGGCATGTTCGCTGAAGCGCGGACTGACGACTTTTACGCAGTTAGATGCAAAAAAGTGACGTCTCTGCTGAAAAGAGTGCGTGGTGGTGGCGGTGGCATCCTGGAGATGTTTGCGTGTCGCATTGATAGCGCAATGCTGGATTTCATGTTAGGGATCACTACTGGACATATAAAGCAGGTAGTGATTCCTAACATATGTATATATTAATTGTATTGTGTCAATTTTGTACTAACATAGTTTTAAGATGTGTTGTGTTACTAATACCCCTTTTCGTTTCTTTTTTAATTTTATTTTTGTGCTGTTTTTTTTTCATGGGCTTACGGCCTGAAATAAATGATTTTTATTTTTTTATTTTATTTATTTATTATTTAAAAAAGTTATTGATTTATTCCTTAGGTAACGTACTTTCGATATCAGTTTAAAGCTTGTTGATATCTCTTATAGGCGCCATTTTGCCCAAGTGTTGATCATTAGGAAGTATCTTTTCTTGTTGTTCAGGCACTAATTTATTTAGACGTACTTAAACACCGAGTTCAGCGATGACAATTGTCTAAAGTTTTTCAGCCAAGGAATAGAAATTCAATATCGAGAAATTGACCAATCAAATGACCCTCACTCGCCTGAGACGCACAAATGGCTTGATTATGGTGATGATGTATATTGTTTTGTATGTTTAGTAGCAATTCCACAAGCTATCGGTGAAGTAAAACATTTTGATGAAATCTGCATGTCGAAGATGGTTTATAACGTAGCGACTATGGCCTAAAAGAGTGGGCTTTTTAGAGAGAGAGTGTGGTGGAAGGCAAAATGATGAGTTCTCTTTCATTCAGTTTTCTGTCGATTAGAATACCTAAGACAAAATTTCACAGTGCCATTATACTTACAACAATAATGCATGACACAATCGCCTTTCATACCAGACGGCACCGGATCGCGGCAATCATCCAATGAGCATTTGCCGTCGCCGACGCCTTCCGACCGCCGATTTAAAGTTACTTACGATATAGAGTTTAGTGACCTGCTGTTAACTTTGATAGCAAAATTTTTGAAAGGCTTTCAAAATGGAGGCCCGAACCTGTGTTGGCGAGCATACTACCGTAGTAATGTATAAAAGTTTATTTCCCAATTTAGTACTACCGGTATTGAACCTCTTCATCCAGCGCCCCTTGTATAAACCATTGGGTCGTCGTCAAATCTAATTTTAAACGTTTCTTTTTTTCAGGAAAAACGGAGCATTTCTCTTTCGAAGGTACTTCAAATGACGTCACGTCGATAGCATTGTCGTTTTACTCCGGGCTGTTTGCGTACAACGGATGGTAAGTTTATAGGCGTCAATAAATCCTAATTTGTTAGTCGAAATCCTTTAAGTTCAGTCTAAGAAACCAAATCGCTAAAAACAGCTACTTCTTAAATTTGGGTCAAGTAGGCATTTATATTTGCCGATAGAATGAAAATACTCCATATTAGAATTGCAGGATATAATAATTTTATTCATCACCACATTGACACAACTAGGCCATGAAATCAATTTAAAAAAAACTAATTACGTTTTGTGGAGAAAATTGGAAAAGCGTTGTTTACTAGTTAGTGATTATAATAGAAATGATTTTCGAAGAATGTGACGTCACGAGATTTTTCAATCCTTCTCGGATATCGGGGGTCTCGAAGTATTGAACTATTCGGGTCATCCGAATATCCAACAAAGATACATTCCACAGCTTTCTTATCAATTTTTTTACGTTGACAATCAGGTACATGAATTAAAGCTCGACATCCGAAAACTCTAAGATTATTTAGATTCGGTTTAAAGTTATACATTTTTTTCAAAAGGAGTTAAATTATTAAGTGCGCGATGGCGCGACTTATTTTTCAAGTAAGCAGACGTTTGTACCGCGTCTTCCCAAAACGCTTTCGATAGAGAACACTCTGCCAACATAGAACGTGCTTTTTCAACTACTGACCTTATAGTACGTTCAGCAACGCCATTTTGTTGCGTACTGTATGCCACGGTCGTTTGATGTAAATTGACTAAGTTTACTTATTGTACAATAAGTAAACAATTTACATGTCGCACATGACACTAACTAATAGTAACTCATAATTGTGGAATTGAGATAATTCAATTTGAAAATTAAAAACAACATCGAATGATTATTTTTAAATAAAAATAATAATTTAAGTCCATTTATAAACGAGAATGTACGTATTAGTTTCATTGCGACCGCCATTAAGAGGGAGCAGAGGAAAAATTCCTAATCTTCGATTTGATTTTAGAGGGGTATATCCACTTTAAAGTTAAAAATAAAATATTGTATGAGTAACTGCACGATATATTCAAGCATAGACATTAATCAGAAACATAAAACAATTAAGTTTCCTCGATAGATAAAAATCACGAAATGACCTCTAATTTTCACATTTTTCCGATTCATCCTCGAAATGCTACAGGTTATTAGGACAAAAATTAGATAATTAATTATATTTATGCATGGTTGAGAACTGTCACTACGGATTTTTTTTGAATCCCTTTAGTTTTAGAGTTATTCCGCTAAAACGAATTTGGTACTTTTAATGCGCAAAATTCAACATCTCCTGTCGCAGGTCACGCGAACTTCAGGCATATATTTGTTTCACAAATTTGGGCGGAGCCAACGTCAAAACTTTTTTGGCATGCTCCCTCTTAAGGAAATAATAATAACGTTGAATCTGTCAGTTACAATTATTGTAGCAATATAGCATATATAGGTGCCTGCACGACGTCAGACGGCTCATACCATAGATAAATTTCGTATCTCAGTAGTAGGTAGGTAAAAGGTTGACTAACGATTGACAGTGAAACATAAGGAGTCCAAATTTAACCGACAGAGGCGCTAATAGCTACTTTGCACTAACTTTACACGCCATCTTTACCGCGAGGGACAAATCTGCAACATAATATTAATTGAAGAAGTCGCACGGCAGTCACTCCGACAAGTGTAGTGTATTTTAGTCACATGGTTTGATATTTATTTTTTTCTTACAGGAACTATTTAAACTTCATAATCGAGGAGCTAAAAGACCCTGTCAAGAACCTGCCTCGTGCTATCGCCATTTCATGCGCGCTCGTTACACTTGTGTACACCTTAACGAACATTGCGTTTTTCACTACACTCTCGCCTACAGAGGTGAGAAAAAAAACGTTATAAATTGTAATAATTATTTTATTGTATATCATTATATATATAGGGGAAATACGTACAAAATGACTTATATGGACAAAATGACATAGTTTAGTGACATAGACAACTGACAACTGCATTATATGGCCCAAGGGGGTTTTACTAACCTGTCAAAACGTGAACTCTCGTGGGTTTTGTACGTTACGAGTTTTTTCTTTACGACAAGTGTTTCTATATATGTAAATAATAAGGTTATCGCTAATGTACTTATTTCGACTCATCCGAAGAACAGAGTCCGTTGTGATTATGTAGCGAAAAGAGAATAGGTACATTACGAGAATAATTTCGTTATTCAAACTAAGGCCCATGTAAAGGTGTTTTGAGGATTTGTATACCTTATTTCATTTCGGAAATATAAAATCAAAAAACGGTCGATCTGACATCCACAGCGAAGAAGAACGAACGAAATGTACTACCTATGTCCTGAGAACAAGTAGTCTTGAACATAGATCTTTGTTCTACGGATGAGTCGATTTATTTTATTCCATAATAGTTTGTTATTGCCCACAAATAAGATATTAAAAAAAAATGTTGAATTTTCTTTTTTAAACCCGTTATATGGCAAAACGACCTAAATCGTAAAGGGAGCTCTACGACCTAAATAAACAACGGACACAATGACATAGGTATGCCATTTTGACCTTATGCGCTTATTAAAGGAGTTTAACTTAATTTCTTCATTATAATATTTATTATAATAAAATATATTATAACTTTCTTCAGCCCCAAAAGGACATTTCATTAATGGACAAGGGAAACGTAAACCAAAGACTCGGCAGTTCTCTTTAGTTTTAACTGCTACTCATAATATAAGGGAAATCCATGGAAAATTAAAATGAAAAATGTGCTCAAAGCTACCCCAGCAAAGAAGAGACCAAACGTCACTACAAAGTTGTTTGAAGATGACAGCGAAGAAGAAAATTTTCCGTGTAACCCTCAAGTTAACGATGAGGACTGTGCTTGCATATATTGCTACGATCTTTTTTCTTGATCTAAGCCCGGAAACTGATTATGATGCTTAAATTGTTCGCATGTTCCTAGAAGAACAAAGCGTTTTATTTGTAAACTTTGTCAATAATTGTATAGTTTTCACGTGTATGTCACTTTGGCCATACATAATAGGTATGTCATTTTGTCCATTGTATATGGACAAAATGGTTTTTGATTTGTCTCAGTTAAACTACGAATTATTATTTTTTCTGTTGTTTTAATTCTGTAAATGTTTATTACTTTCAGTAAATAATGTACCAAAAGCTACTGGTGTAGAATATGACTGTGCTGTCTATTACCACTAAATAATTATGACTAAAAAACAAAATCCTATGTCATTTTGTACAGATTCCCCCATTGTATTTCCCCTATTATTTGTGACAATACTCCACACCGCTATTACCAATTGAGCTACGAACCGAGCCGTTAAATCTTAACGGATTTCTCTATGCACTTGTGGTAATACATAGTATTGGATTTAATTATAAATTGTAGTAATAATTTTATGGATTCAGTCGTCTAAAAACGTTTTGTTAGTGAAGTTTTTCAAATGAGACTTTGCACGCGTTTGGCAAGCGAGTTCTCTGTCGTATTAAAGTCTACTTAATGCCTACGTAAGAAGATGGTAATGCTCATCTCTAAAACATATTCGTCCTGCAGGTGTTAGGATCGGCTGCTGTAGCAGTGACCTTCGCCGAACGTCTCTTCGGATGGTTCGCGCTTTCCATTCCGCTGTTCGTCGCTGCTTCCACTTTCGGCGCTGTCAATGGTGTACTTCTTACCTCATCACGGTTAGTATCTTCTTCGCGTTTTCGACCGGTGTTTATCATGGCAACGCGATCCGGATTGATCGTTTATTATGCCTGGTAGGTGTAGTACAGGGCCTCGTCATTAGTGGATGAGTTTGTCACCATCTTTGCCTTCCCCGATAGGTTGTTCTATGCCGGCGCAGCGCAGGGACAGATGCCGGAGATGCTGACAATGGTGACGACGCGAGCCACCCCTGCGCCCGCGGTGCTGGCCGTCGCCCTCCTCAGCCTTGTGTACCTCACTGTCAGCGATATTTATGCGCTTATTAACTATGTTGGATTTGCTACCTGGGTAAGCACTTCTACGGTGATATGGATGTTAAAGCTGTGGTAAAGTATTGTGGTGACCATTTCTGTCAGTCTGCTGCATACGGTAAGACTGAAAACGGGCGGGTTAATTGTTTAGTTTAATTGGGTACCTACGTCACTTGTTATGAACGACTTGACAATCTGCAGCTTGATTTTATTGCTTCTCCCGATCGGAAACTGTGTCTTTTTCGAGTCGAGGCGCATAATTGTGATTTACAACAGGCCCATCGTAAACTTTGACATTTCTAATCGGACCAATAGTTGATTTAACTCACAAATTAGAAAGAGATAGTAGGAATCAGGTTCATCTTCTCGCTCAGAAACCCATCTGATTTCGAGACAACCCGATCGCATCGGTTCCGATTTAAATGAAAATCAGGACGCTGGTCTTATATAAAAAGGCTTGACACTCTGCCTTTTGTTTTCAGTACCTTTTGTTTATAATACCCGGTGATGGGACGAACAAATCTTGCGCCTGGTGGGAAGCGACACGCCTGTCCATTACTGTAACTGTCCAAGAACAGTTACAGTGCCACTCAGAGCTTTCAATCGCAAAGATCTTAGGGACACTGCCATTGTGCCCGTCATCCTAAGATATAAGTTTACCAGTCTCATGTGCCTCTACTTTCACCAGCACGCTTACGGCGCGTGTACACGCTAAGAAATTCGTCGTGTCTGCAACAGAAAAGACGAGAACGGCCTTGTACGCGACAAGAATTTTGTCGTATCTAGCCACGAAAATATGTCGTGTCTGTTGCAGACTAGAAAATGATGAGTATGTACACGATACGAATGCTTTCGGGCAGACGTGTGTACAGTAAACGTGTCAGTGTAGCTGTTGTTTTACTACCGACTGTGTGAAGAAATATGTTCACTACTAATAAAAAAATGGTGATTGCAAATTATATGTATAGAATAATGAATATCTCCCCATGCCTTAAAAGGACGTCGTTTATCTTTATAAATCTGTAAGATTTTGTCCCACAATACGAGTCGTTCCTTTACTAAACTTATAAGTACATCATGCATTTTATTATTCGCAATAAAATTAGTGGTACAACAGTGGCGCTTTGCAACACCAGTCCACGCGCATAAACGTGTCGTCTACTGGCAATGCGCCATGCGGTAGACAAGATTTTTTTCTTGTCCGGCCGAGGCTGGGTACACAGTTCGTGTTTAGAAACGACTCAAATTCTTGCAAAGACCAGGCGACTTTTCTTAGCGTGTACACGCGCCGTTACCCTTCAAAACCAAAACTACTGCTGCTATTGCCTTAGTAGGTTTATTTGTTGAAAGAATTAACCTCTTTTAAAATGCCATAAAGCACAGTCATCTGTGCATTTACGTGTACGATTTCAACAGCTCGGCCCCAAAAGGTAGTTACTAAAGACAGAATAATTTCGCCGAAGAAAGTTTTCTTATCAGCATAAAGAGATTTCAATCTTACCTTAATGCATTTCTTCAAAGACAATTAAACTCTAAACTGACGATGATCAATAAACATATTTGTTACTTTTCCCAGCTGAGTATCGGTGCGGCCGTCGTGTGCTTGCCTGTACTGAGATACACACGCCCAGACCTGGAGAGACCTATCAAAGTCAACATGTTCTTCCCGAGTAAGTAGAAAGCGTAAAAAATTAGTCGGGAGTGTGAAAGTTTAAAACTATCCATAAATAATTCCTGTTAGCACTTTACAGTAAATACCATTGGTGTAATAACCTAATAAGGCCACATATGCAAAATTATAACTTTTCAGAAGAGAGAGGCTTAAAGATTCTACGAACGAAATCAGTCGTTAACTTTTTATGTTTAAGTAAGAGAGTTAAAACATTTTAATACCTTTAGTTCGCATTATGTTAACGACTTTCGCGATATAGAAGCACTTTGACGTATGATCACATGTGGCTTTATTTTACTAGGGGTCCGAAATGAAGCAAAGCGAGCTGTTAAATGTGACCTTTAATAGTACATTGCGTATTAAATAACCGCCCAGTAAATAAGGAATTACTATAGACTCTATATATTTATTATAGACTCTATTAGAAGCCCAAAGTCGAAGGCTGATGAAGGCTGACGAAGGGTTATCGGAGTCGAGGTTCGTAATTCCCGTACCGCCCGTGAAATATAGGTGCAATGTCTTACAACACACTTGTACGTAATTATTATGATTGCATGCAAGCTATCTTGACTATATTGCCGCAAATTAAACCCTCTGGCCTTTTTTCTTCTCATTACAGCCACGGTCAGTTAACATGCATGCAATCATACTAATTACATGCAAGTGTTATGAAAAGTGATATTCAAGTTCACCTCACCTTTTTTTCTCAGTTGTGTACATAATCTGCACAATCCTGGTGGTCTCCGTGCCTGCTGTTGCGTCTCCACAAGAGACCGGCATCGGTTGCCTGATGATCCTCACTGCAGTGCCCTTTTACCTGCTGCTTGTTGAACCTAGGACTCGGATACGAGGACTTGATTTTATTACCAGTAAGTTACCTTTTTTATTTTTTTTTTTCTTTAAAGTAAGTAACTAAAGCACCTGTGTTATGGAAATTGGAAACAACAACGGTATCACAAAGACTACCTTTACTTTGTCTGACCCGAGACAATATAGAAAAGTTACAACATTAACCCGGCCGGAGATCCAATCCCGGGACCGCAAAGATGGTGACGCCATGAAAACCGATGTGCAAGCCACTCGACCGCGCGGATCATTGAGTTGTAGTCAAAAATTGTACTTTATCGTTTATGTTAACCGGAATTATCTGTCTACTAAAAAATATTGTAGTATAATTTTTTGCATCGTTTTCTTGAATGCATAATTATAACGATGTGCTTGTTGTTTTTTACTTCAGATGCTGCCACTCATCTAGTACAAAAATTAACTTTAGCAGTGCGACCGAAAATGAAGGTAAGCGCCATAAGGAATCAATTGAAAAGTAGATTCAAAAGTTTAATAAAGTATTTATTTATTAAACATTGGCTGTAGTGTCATCAGCTTAAAAAGACAACAAATAAACTCAAAACGTAATTTCTTTAAACTAAACATTTATTCGTGTAAAAATTGTAACTTCGAAAACCAGCCCACTTCCCACCACTTTCCCACCATAACCTCAACTAACCTTGTTTTTTTTTGTTTTCTAGTGAACGCCATATTGGAAATGTACATCGCTGCTGACATATCGGATTGAATCGGTTAAAAATCACCTATAACTAGTAGTTGACGCTGCCTCAAAAGGCTATAAAAAACAATATTAATTATCAAAATGATACATCGGAACATGCTCAGTAAAAAAAAATATGTCATATTTATACATAATGTATACAATATGGCGAGCCTATTTTTTTAAATGTTTTGACATCTTATTTCATAAAAAAATAGTGAATTAAAAAACTGACGGCACGGTAGTGCTAGGCCAAGATCATCATAGTATCCTTACATTAATGTTGAAAGCGGCTACTAATTTATATTTAATTTTGCTAAGTGCATGTCGTGGAAAACAAAATAATGAACAATAATGATTAAAAAAGAAAATAGGCTCTCCAACTAGCATTTATATGTGTTTTACTGAGTATATAAATAGCAATTATAGGAACATCGAGTGTTATGTATACAGGGTGTAATTAAAAATGATCTATTGTTTAAAAGAACGAATATATTCAATGAAAAGTATTAACATCTGTATTTGGATGATATCTGTATTTTGAACTCTACACAATGCTCAAGTCAGGATTTGAGTATGGTTTAATGCACTTGAAATCATACTCAAGTCTGCTCAAATCCTGACTTGAGCATTGAGTAGAGTTCTGGAACACGACCCTAAGAGTCAGTAAATTCGGCCTATAGACAATTTGGTACATTTTTAATGTTACACACTTGTATGTAAGGAAAAATAACACGTTGTTGATTGTTGTAGTTTTAAGTCACTTGCGAACAATATATAAACATATATACTTATATATTACTCAGGTATTGTAGATTGTTACGAGTTCATGTTGTGTAAATCACCTATTTTCTTAAAGTAGTAGGTAACAAATGGCATTGCTATATAAAGTTTTGGAGGTTAACAATAATGTTAATCATTTTTAAGATTCATTAAATAAGTAAAGAATAAAATAGTAAATTGTGGAAAATATATATGTGGATAGTAAGAATTTTGATTTTGTTCAAGTTTTATATGACAAGAACTCAATTTTTGCTTTGAACCGCAGTCGATATATTTAAAACAGTAGAAGTATGTCGTTGTAGTAAACAATATAATAATGACATGTATACTTATATATGTAATCGGAACGAATATTGTGTTCTTAAAGTGTATATTTAGATTACGATGTTGGAAAAGTGCATTCTATAAAATAAACGCCAAGGTATCCTGGAATCAGAGTTTCAAAATGTCAGGAACATGGCTTTTATTACCAGCTGAAGGATTTTTTTTTGTCAATAGGAATCTTAGAATTTAAAACATTGGAGTAAATGTTGTAGTCTTTTTCATACATTATTAAATAATAAAATGACCATTAATATGTGGGCATTTTGGGATACATTTAAACGTATTCTTCCATAAAAATTTACCTACCATTTGTTAAAAGCTTAAAGCCCATCATTAGTGTTTAACTATTTTGTACGTAAGTTAATATTTTTCTCTTTTATATTTTAAATCGTAGATCTGAATTTTCGTTGCATTTTTCTTTATTGGAAATTCAGGGTCCATGTCCATTTTCAGATCTGCTTTCTCTCATTTTATTGAGCAAAACATTTTAGCAAAAGTAAATAAATTTTCACTTTGTATCGTACAATTTGAATGGACAATACGTAGTGACACGTAATCGTAGCTTTTCTATGCAAAATATATAAGAGAGTAAGAGAAACTGAGTGCGCCATTACATAGACGATTTCAATAGAGTATAAAGTCTCATGTGTCTGTTAGTTTTACCAGCACCCTTATCCTTCAAAACCGGAACTCAGTAACGCTCACATTACTGCCTGTCGGCAGAAATATGCGTGGTGGCAGTACTTCCCTGGACGAAGTGTTCTCACAAACAAATCGACTGTCACTAAAATACGAGTATAACAAAATATGCTATAAGATGCAACCATTGTCAAACAATAAATGCACCTTTTACTTGCAAATATAAATAAGTATATTTTTTTAACTTATCTGAACTTTTAAAACATTGTAGGTAATTTCGATTTATTTTTGAAATATTAGTATGTAATAAATTCACTTTAATTTTTATGATAAATTTATGAATGCTTCCTAGCTTTAGTAAATAATTTAGTCAATTGAAATTATGTGAATTGAGTATGTATTGTGTGAATTTTAATTGAAGTCATAAAGGCTGTGTCGTTAGTTTCCATTGCAATGAAACCAGTACTTTCCCTAAGAAATCCGTTATAGATTTGCATAATTATGTTAGTAATTAATCATGAAAAAAAAACAACTAACTTCACTTGTTTAAGCTACAAAACCTTCGTAACAATTATCGTGTTCTTTGATAAAATCATTTGAATAAATTGTACAATATAGATTTTAAGACTTTCGTGGTTATTCACTAAATGATTGTCACTAGTATCGGGTTTCTTACCACGCTATGACTTATTTTTATTTTCCCGATATTTCGGAACGGTTGCACGCTCCATGGTCACGGGTTGGTTGTCAGTCAAGAAGCCTGATACTAGTGATAATCAAATTGTATAGTAACCACGGTAATGAGGGATATCAAGTTTTTTTATTAGTTTTCTGCGTTAGTTCGCAGCATACATTACATGAATTAATAATTGAGACCATCGGTTGCTTATGTATAATATTCTAAATTCTAGTGCACAATTTTAAAAATCACAGAAGGAGGTGTTTTAAAAAAGTTCATTGCATCCATTGCTAGTGTTTTTCATCAGGCAGGTAAATAATGATGAATTTCGTGTTATCCAAATGGATATATGAAGGTATTTTAAGCTATTGATAGTTTTTTTTGTAAATATTGACATTTTGATCATACTTTAACATTCCAATTAATTACCTATTTCGTAAAGTTATTTTAGACGATAATATATTATTTAATACAGAACTAGCATTTAATTTTATTACTTTATGTTTATTACATTATTCTTGTATGAAAAAAATGTTTTTTATACATATATAATTTTTATTAATTTGTGTATTTTTGGAATTTATACTTTGTGCCCATTTTTATTGATAAACATGTGTTGTACTTGTACAAACAATTTTAGTATTATCAAGCCAGATGATGAATAATTATATTATAGTCTGTATTTCGGTGAAGTTAAAACACATAATAATTAGTAATATTAGTAAAGCAGTATGTGTAACCATAACCACTTTGTATGTGTCGATGTCCTGTCGAAATTTATGTCGCTATGTTTGTTAGACACAAATGACAATAATAACTTAAGAAATTGAATTTACCTTTTATTTGATCTTCTTTGACCTACAGCTTTGACGGAAAATAATACACTAGCGCTAATATGTTTCTACTATGACCTCAACGAGTGATAATAAGACTTCTATCCTCAAGTTGTGACCGATTGATTGGCATAAGCTTTACATCCTGTATTCTTTTTTTCCATCCTATACGATCTTGTGTGATTGGCCTTCGGAGTCATAAATTACTAAAAGTTTCCAAGCTCCTACTATGAGTTTAGCCGCTCGATCACCTATTTTTACATTGCCCACTTCAGTATGTAATGACTGCTTCTTATTAAATGGCCTACTAACATTGACTTACAAATAAATGGACGACGGGTCTAATCTTAGACTATGGAAATTTTTTTCCATCCTCTAAGGGTCTAATACAAAAACAACGAAAAAAATGTCCCAAGTCAACCTATTCGAAATCTAAATTGTTATGTCATCGCAGTATCGCGCTGTCCGTAGAACAAATGAAGACTAAAGCGGAGTGTCGCGCTCTGTATACGATTTTAGCGCCTTACAAGTGCGGACACTTTTTAGCGCGGACACGACGTCCATATAATTGTAAGTCAATGCCTACTAAAGATTTTTATATAAGAAGATGTCCTCGCCTCTTGCCATCTTTACTGCGGAACACAAAGAATTATGAACATAATTATGTATTATTAAATGCATACGTTATTGCCACTATTGAAGAGATATAATTATGAATCAAATGTTTCACGAAAATACCTATTTCAAATACAAAAAAACTCTCTTAAACAAAGTATTTAAAACGCGTATGAAAAAAAATTAAACATTTGGCTTGATTTATGTATTCCGATGTCGTGAAAACAATATTAAAAATTTTTTAATGATTGAAAAAACTTTCTATAATTTTTTTGTCCACAGAATAATGAACGTAGTTCATTAGGTAGTCTGTGGAATAACGTGTGAATTTATGTCTGTGGTGGGTGGTTCAGAAATGTCATTTCACGTCGTTGACTTGTTGATTTCTCCAAAGATTTTTGGATTTCTTCCAAATTTTCTAGTCTGAAACGGCATAAAAGGTACTAATATGGTAAAACTCAGTAAAAGCAAGTTCAAAGCAAATAATAAACTTGTAAAGAAGCAACAACCATCTACGAACAAGGTGACAAATAAGATTTTAAAGAAGAAATTGAATGCTGAGAAGAGAGTAGCACTTCAAAAGGAAATTTTGTTTAAAGAAGCTGTTACACACCCTAATGCATTAGTTCAGAACATAACATCTAGGCAAGTACAGCTTGACGAGTTATCCAAACGTCCTAATAAGAAGAAATCTGCACTAAAAGATGAAGCTAAGAAGCCGAAATTAAAACCTGTTGAAAAACACAAAAGGCGCCAAAAAACGCAAATTAGCGACACGAAGTTATTATTAAGTCTTATGAAAAAGAAGTGATGAAATTGTAATCTTCCATTAATAAATTTGTTATAAGTTTTGTTAAAAACCGCAGTTGTTTTATTTGCAGATACTTTGGTGGTATTAGGAATGCACATCATCATAATTAAGTGAATTTACTGGAAAACAGTTTTGCAAGATTTGTCCCTAAGTACGTAAATTGTGTTTATAGACCTAATTATTTAGAATAAAATCGTTGGTTATGCAGGCTGTTTCTTATTTACAGAACACTTGATAAACAATTCTTTACTTGTACCTTTATAGGATGTAGCCAAACTGCATAACCTTTATTGTTCATCATTATAATGTCATTATATATTTTTGGTTTTTATAATTAGTAACGGGTTGAACAAGTCGTGCACCTGATGGTGGGACATGCCTGTCCACAACGGTTGCAGTCACAAAATCAGCTTTAAATCACTAAGGTGAGCCACTGCGCCAGACACTCTGACACATAAGTTGACAAGAATGCAGTAAATCTCTTGCTTGATGGCAGAAATAGGTAAGGTGGCAATACTTCCCTTGATGAAC